AGAGCAGGCTGGCCTTGAACTCACAGAGATCCACTTGTCTCTGCCTGTGCTGGGATTAAAGGTGTGCGCCATCACTGCCTGGTCAGCCTGTTTTCTTATAGCACCCAGGACAACCAGCCAGAGGTGACACCAATGATGGTGATCTAGGCCTTCTCACACCAATCATCAGTCAAGAAAATGCACCACAGGCAAATCTGGTGGGAGTATTTTATCAATTAAAGTTCCCTCTTCCCAAATGACTTGAGTTTGTGCCAAACTGACAGGGAACTGACCGGCACAGGTTACAACAGATCAGCAGAGCATCAGCTATGTGTGTCTGGATTCTATTTTCACAACAGCACAATGAATCAGGTCTGATTCTATGAATCTTGATATGTGAAGGCATAGAAACAGTAAGTACAGATGTTAACAAGGTGACAGAATAAAGGTGGTATAGTCTAACAGGAAACAGTAGGATTTAGAAAAGATTGATTATTCTATACATGCATGCTCTGCCTTGCTGTATACATGTGCACTGTATGCATGCCTGGTGTCATAGAAGTCAGAAAAGGGCATTGTATCCCCCAGGACTGAAGTTAGGGAAGATTTTAGATGGAATGTGTGTAAAGAGACAGGGAGAGAGAGAGAGAGAGAGAGAGAGAGAGAGAGAGAGAGAGAGAGAGAGAGAGAGAGAGAGACTGATATGGCCTGGAGAGAAGGGAAGCGAGAGAAAACAGGCGGAATTCCGCCTTTTAAAGGAAGGGGCTACTGCCTGCATACTGAGCATGCACACAGGGGAGAAGTACTCTGTCAAGTCTCCAAGGGGTGGGCCAGGTGTGCCTAAATACACACCTGAATGAGAATTTTGGGAACTCAACCTTGGTCCTCTGCAAGAGAAGCAAGTGCTCTCTCTGTCTCTCTCTCTCTTTAAATTTATGTATGTATGTATGTATGTATGTATGTATGTATGTATGTATGTATGTATGTATGTATAGAGTGTTCTGCCTACCATGTGAATGCTGGGAATTGAACTTAGGATCTCTGGAAGAGCAGCAAGTGCTCTTAACCACTGTAATATCTCTCCAGCACACAAAGTGGGATTCTTAGCATCAAACATTTGGTCTGAACATAATACCAACCTTATCTCTTTATTTTCAATTATAATTAATTAAATTAATTAATGGGGGTCACAGACATGTCCTCTCTATTTGTGATGTGGTTCTTAGGGATCAAACTCAGGTTGCCCACCTTGCAAGCTCCTATGCTTGTGTGTGTGGTGTATGCATGTGCAGTGTGTGTGTGTGTGCTTGTGTGTGTGCGCACATGTGCATGCACATGCATGCAGAAGCCAGAAGAGGACATCAGATGTCCTTCTGTATCTGCTTTCTGCCTTATTTCCTTCATACGAGATCTCTCACTGAACGTGAAGCTAGATCAGCAGGCAGTAAATCCCAGCAATCTTCCAGTATCTGACCCCTTGCCCCAGCACCGAAGCAATAGGCACATGCAACCATATCTGTTTTTTTAAAGCGGTGCTGGAAATTTGAACTTAGGTACTCATGCTTGCCCAGTAAGTGCTTTTAGCCACCGAGCCACCCCTCCATCCCCTAAAGCTCTCTTTTGGTGCACATCAAGTGACTTGTCCAGCACAGGAAGCACCTAACCATTGGCTCTTCACATTATTCACTGCCTCAGACTCCATCCCTCCATTTCCCCTCTATTTCCATTTCTTCCCCTGCATTCCTTTGCCTCACTTGTTCCAACCTCTTTCTGCTGTCTTTATAGTCATTCATTATTCCGTTCATCCATCCGTCCATCCGTCTGTCCGTCTGTCCATCCATCCATCCCTTCCTTGAGGCTTCCTGGGAGCCAGGCTCTATGCCTTGCAATGGTAGGAATACAAGAAGTCAAATTTTAGTTGCCCCTCCCCCACCTTTAGGAACTCCCAGCTTGCAGAAGATAAAGAATATCAAAAAGTCTACCTGATGCATGCACTACAAGGGACGGCCTAGGGAACTGTTAGCCCTGGAGAATCCACCTTGTGTGTGCGCACGTGTGTGCATGTGTGAACTCCTAAACTGTATCTGCCGAGTAATTATTACATCTGCAAAGGCCAGCAAGTTGGAGGGAGCTCGGGTTTACGAATGAATGTATTTTATGCAATACAGTTTGTGTTCGCAGGCTATATATCACAGGCAATAAAACAACCTGCTCCCACAGATTGAAATAGATAGGTTCTAGTGGGTGGGAGGGTGAGAGTCAGAGAGAGGATGGGATGAAGCTGCAGGATGATCTCTTGGTTCTCAGGAACTGCATGCGGTGTTTTCGGAGTCCTGGCTTTTCCATGCATCTTCAGCCTTTTCAACAAGCTTAGGGTACAAGGGTGCCTTGACATGGCGGCAACACTGACTTCTTGGAGGGAAAATGGGAAGCCACATAAATTGAGAGCAAAGGTCTCTAGTAGAGGATACTTGGAAGGATGTCAGCCTCTGAGGTATTGTCTTTCTCCCTTCCCTTTCCTCCTGTCTTCTCTTCTTTCTCCTCCCTCCCCTCTCTGGCAGGAGCACAAGCATCCCAGGCTGGCTCCGAGCTCTCTGCGTAGCCAGGCGTGACCACGAATCTCCTGTCCTCCTGCTTCTACTTCTGGCGTGTGCTGGGATTCCAGGCTTGTGCCACCACACCTGCCCTGTCCTCTCCCTGCCCCGCCCCCTTCTCTTCCTTTAAAAAACATTCTTAATACAGGTGGGAAACAGGTGTGAGGGGTGCAAAGTTTGCCCCGACACCAGTTGTGGACTAGGATTCCAACCTCTTAGTCAACCCAGAGAGCGCGGGAATAGAAATTGGGGGCTGGGGGTGTGCGTCTGAGTAGGGGAGGGTCTTCTCAGAACACAGGGGTTGACGGTCCCTAATTCTGACAATCCCACCATCCCCATTCCCTCTCCAGGGTTGAAAAGAGGTGTCTGCGTGAAGATCAACCACTTTCCGGAGGACACGGATTACGACCATGACAGCGCGGAGTACCTGCTCCGTACGTGGGCGGGGTGGAGGTGGGGTCGAGGATCCGGGTGGGATGAGGAAGGACAGTGTGAGTTCTTGGAAGGAGGTGGGCGGGCGGGGGACGGGGGGACTGGGAGGAGCTTGAACCTCACTCCTAGGTTAGTTTCCCTTCCCAGGCTATCCAGGTCCAGCAGCTCAGCTCCCGGGCCAGAGGGGCAGGCCCAGCGGGGAATCCTGGGTGATGATTGGTCGGTTGGATGTCTATGGCCGGGCAACTTTGTATAGTAAAAGGTTGTAGATTGGCTGCCGAGCTGGGCCTGCAATCTGCCGCCTGGACTGACTACTCCCCTGGGGGGAGCATGTACTGCGATTGGGTTGTTATCCTGAGATCGTGGCAAAGTCTTAATTATGATTGGCTGGTTTAACCAGGCTCAGAAATAACAGAATCTGACTGTCCAGGGTTTTAGGAAAAAGAGGGAAAGCACCCGTGGAAAGGTAGAAATAAAAAAAAAAGGAGATAAAGAAGCATAGGATGAAATATGGAGATACAAACAAGAGAGGGATGAATACAGGGAGAAAGAAAAGCAGTGGGAGAGAGAAACGTGATAAAGGTGCAGAGAAAAAGGAGGGGAGGTGGGGTGGAAAAACAAAGAAACTTTAAAATCAGGAGGGAAAATGAGATGAAAAAGAAAAGAACCGGAGAGGCAGAATTAGCGAACTAAATTTAGCTAAGCAAAGAGGGAAGCAGGCAGGAGGTGCGGTGGGCCTGGGGCTCAGTGGCCCGCCTGACAGCCCACGCGCTCTCCTCTCGTTCCTTCTCTTTTCTTTCCTTCCCTCAGGAGTGGTCCGGGCCTCCAGCATCTTCCCGATCTTGAGCGCCATCCTGCTGCTGCTCGGGGGCGTGTGCGTAGCTGCCTCCCGCGTCTACAAATCCAAAAGGAACATCATCCTGGGCGCGGGGATCCTGTTCGTGGCAGCAGGTGAGAGGCAGAGAGAAGGGGAGGCGGGCCACCCACTTACGCGTGGGTGTCTGCGCGTGTGCATGGGCGCATGCGACTGCAAATCCAGCCTGCCCTAAGCGCCCCCTGGGGACTGGAGTTTTCCTAGGCTCCTCCCATGCTGGGTAAGGTAGGTTTAGGTTTAGTTTGTGCCTGCACAGACTGGTGTCTGTGAGTAAAGTGGGAGGCAAGGAGCGGAGTTTCCCTAGCTGTCCTAGAGAACTGAAGGAGGCGTCTGAGATGGAGGAGGGGACCTGAGACACATAGGAGTCTAACGATAGGGAGGTGGGACTGGGGCTGAAGAGGAAGAAATTGACCTGAATGAATCCTTAAAGGGGCTGGTTCTAAGAAAAACCCTCTAGGCCAGGTTCTCAGTGGGTCGCGACCCCTTTGAGAGGTTAGACAACGCTTTCCCAGGAGGTCGTATATCAGATATACTGCATATAGATAATTACATTACGATTCATAACAGTAGCAAAGTTACAGTTATGAGGTAGCAACAAAAATAATTGTTTTGCCGGGGGGTGGGTCACAGCATTAGGAAGATCGAGAACCACTGCTCTAAGCCCAGGAAAATGAAACTGAAGGTGTGAAGACCAGGCTTTGCCTGTTTGAGTAAAAAGGCTATTTACTGGAAAATTCAAAAGGAGATAGGTTATGCAGGAAGCTAGACGGAGGCCAGGATGTGAAGTTGGTTACCACAAGAGCTAGGGCCTTGGATTGTGCATGTGACTGGGCAATAGGGTGTACAAAGGTGCGGGTCCCATCCCAGCCACGTTTAACCCTCCCCCCCCCAGATGTGATGCCTGCCTGCAGTCCAGAGGGATCATAAAGAGTTTGAGGACTGCTTAGGCTTTGTGAGAAATCTCAAAATAAAAGACTCCCAACCCCAAATAGAACTGGCCTAGGGTAGCAGACGCCAGGATTATGAGCCTTAAGGACAGAGCTCAGACCTGCTCGTTAGTACGATTAGGACTGGAAAGTAGAATGAAGAAAAGGCCCCTTCTGCACAGGAACGGAGTTTAGGGTAATGAACGTGGGGCTTGCTTTAAATTCCCCAGGATGGTTTAGACCAATGGCTAACAGGGTATAGATACCCACCCCCAGACAGACAGACAGACAGACAGACAGACAGACAGACACACACACACACACACACACACACACACACACACGGAGATTAGATTAATGAATGTGGGGGTTGCTTTAGATTGATTCCCCAGAATGGTTTAGACCAATGGGTAACGGGGTATAGATACCCCCCAGACACACACACACACACACACACACACACACACACACACACACACACGGAGATTAGATTAATGAAGGTGGGGCTTGCACCTAGAAGGGACTTTAAGACATTTAACTAGCCTGGTATGTGTTGTGGAGAGCAGTGGTCTAGACCTGCACAGGGAGGGTCTGGTTAGGTGTGAGAGAGGTGTGTGGCAAGGTGGAAATACTGACCTACACCTACAGGGCCTGGGGTTTAGAAAACTGGAGGTTGGACCTGGATTAGGAAGATTTATTATAATTAGGGTGCAGTTAAGGCTAGTAAGGCCAGTACTCTATAGTGCAGGGAGGGTTAGGCCATCAGTGGACAGATCTTAGAGATTTAAAGTGGAATTATGCCATTAGCAACAAAAAAGGAACAGAAGGCGGGAACTGGGGAAAAAATCCGGGTTTATACTTTGGACAGGAGCTGCAAACCGCGTCTGGGACTACCTCACCAAAGGTAGATTTGAGACCATTCAGTGTTGGGCCTAGATTTGTGTGTGTGTGTGTGTGTGTGTGTGTGTGTGTGTGTGTGTGTGTGTGTGTATTTAGATCCATGGAGGCTAGATAAGAAGGGGCCGAACCTGAACTACCTGGGGGTGATTAACCTAAACTGTGGGAGGAATGAAGATCGTTAGGACAGGGATGGGCCATTCTCAGCCTTTGTTAGGACTCTCCAAGGTAAGGTCTGAGTCCTCCTGGGGGCAAGGCCTTGACCACATAGGGGTGCAATTTAGACCCATATAGGTAAGGCATATGGAACTGATGACCGGAGAAGGGGCCAGGGCAAGGTATGGATAGGACCAAGATTGGGGGTGCGGGGGGATAGCGCTAACTCAGAGGGCAGAGGCTAGATCTCCAAGGGAAGTATTTTAGGCCAATGGGGGAGAGGCTTATAGATTTCTGAAGTGGGGGTTTAGACCAATGAGGATGGGACTTAGATTCCGGAAGATGGCTTAGGCCAATGGGAACAGAACTTGCATTCCTCTGGTGGGTTTAGATTCTTGAGGAGGTGTTAGCCGTTTTGAGTGATACTTAAACTACTTGGGGGTGAAATTCATACCGATGGCAGTGGGGCTTAGGCTCTTAGGGTGGAATTTAGCCCAGCAATGGTGGGAGTTAAGTTCTTGGGTGTAGTTTAGAGAGCAGGGCTAAGACTGCTGGAGTAGAGTTTAGTCCAGTGGGAACACGGGTGGAATTTAGCTTAGTGGGCTCAGGGCTTAAGACTGCTGGGTGGAATTCAGTCCGATAGAGGTGAATCTTAGACTCTTGGGTGTAAAGCTTAGACCAGTGGGGTGGGTTTAGACTCCTGAGTGGGTTTATGCCAGGGAAGTGTAACTTAGACCAGGTGGGCAGGACATAAGTGTTTAACCAAGAGTAGAGTTTAATCAGTTGCAGCCGGGCCTAGAATCTGGAGTAGTTTTTAGCTCAGTGGGTCTCAGGGTTTATATTCCTGGGGTGGAGCCTAGCCTAGTGGAGGCTCCGGTTTAGACCACAGGGGATTAAGTCGGCCAGAGGACTGCCGGTCCTCTAGGCTCCCACATGACCGTCTCCATCCAGGCCTGAGCAACATCATCGGGGTGATCGTGTACATATCAGCCAACGCGGGCGAGCCAGGCCCCAAGAGGGACGAGGAGAAGAAAAACCACTACTCGTACGGCTGGTCCTTCTACTTCGGCGGGCTGTCCTTCATCCTGGCCGAGGTGATCGGCGTGCTGGCCGTCAACATCTACATCGAGCGCAGCCGCGAGGCGCACTGCCAATCTCGCTCGGACCTGCTCAAGGCCGGCGGCGGCGCGGGCGGCAGTGGCGGGAGCGGCCCCTCGGCCATCCTCCGTCTGCCCAGTTACCGCTTCCGCTACCGCCGCCGCTCCCGCTCCAGCTCCCGAGGCTCCAGCGAGGCATCGCCGTCGCGGGACGCGTCTCCCGGCGGCCCCGGGGGTCCGGGCTTCGCCTCCACGGACATCTCCATGTACACGCTCAGTCGCGACCCGTCTAAGGGCAGCGTGGCTGCGGGGCTGGCGGGCGCCGGGGCCGGCAGCGGCGGCGGCGGCGTGGGCGCTTACGGCGGGGCGGCCGGAGGCACGGGGGGAGGCGGGGCGGGCGCCGAGCGGGACCGCGGGAGCACAGCGGGCTTCCTCACGCTGCACAACGCCTTCCCCAAGGAGGCGGCGTCCGGCGTCACGGTCACGGTCACCGGACCGCCCGCTGCGCCCGCGCCCGCGCCGCCTGCACCTGCAGCACCCGCTCCCGGGACCCTGTCCAAAGAGGCTGCTGCGTCCAACACCAACACGCTCAACAGGAAAACCACGCCCGTGTAGTGGTGCTCGCCTTCGCGGGGAGCCGGGGGGCGCGTCCGGGGCGCGTGCGCGGGCGCGCGTGCAACGAGGCCGCCGGATCGGGGTGCCCCCCAGCTCTATCCCCGCGAGCGCGCTGGACACCGCTGGGCCTTCCAGCCCCTCCTCGAGCCCCTCCACACCCTCTACCCCCGTCACGCTCTGAAGCAGGGACCCTTGGGGAGGGGGACGGGACAGGAAAAGGGGCTCAGGCGTGGGAGCGCTGTGTTTTATTTTTGTGTGGGGGGAATTTCAAGGGAGGGAGGGAGGGCCGTGGTGTTTTTTGCAGTTTGGAGATGTTTTCTTTTTAAATGTTTTGCGGTGTGCATGTGGGGGCGGGGCGGGGGGAGGGAAGGGAGGGACTCCCAGCCCAGCCCAGCCCAACTCCTGGAGAGGGGCTCTTAACACATGAATATAGAGTTACATCTACAACTATATATACACATGTTCTGTATAAAGATACAGGCCCGCAGAAGGCAAAGGCCAAGGGAGGGGTGCGCTGACATTTAGCTCACTTTTTCATTCATCTTTTGACAAGGGCTTATTAAGCACCTACTATGTACCAGGTAATGGGTACAGAAGGCGGTGCTAGGGAGGAGGGGACATAAACGCAGGCGCATCCATTCATCCATTTCTGGACATTCTATGTGTGTTTGCGTAACCGCTAGGCATTGTACACGAGGTAAAATAGGGTCCCTGGCGTCCTCAGAGAGTTTGCATCTTGTACATGAGACGGTCATTAATCACAGAATCATGTACCTACCCAGTAAATGACACTTAGAAATGTAGAGGCCCCTTGGGGCTGTGTTTTCCTAATGCAAGCCGTGGGTTACATCTCCAGTACTGCATAAACTAGGTGTGGCGGTGCGCTCCTGTAACTGCAACCCTTGGGAAATGGAAGGTGTTCAAGGTCATCCTGGGCTGTGTGCTGAAACTGAGGCCAGCCTGGACTGCGAGACTTTTGTGTTTGAAAAACGGCACACCGGGGATGGGGTGGGGTGAGGGTGAATATGAGATGCTGCAGAGTGCTCTAAGTAAAGTAGGGTGATTAACTCAGATGGGGCGCGGGGGGGGGGGAGGGGACATGGAGAGTACAACCAACTATACTGACAAAGAATGGTACTAGCTAATCAGACCTGAGGTGAAGTGACCCAGACAGAAAATTTAACATACCAAGGCCCTGGGACAGGAAGCAGCTTCCAGGGTGTACCGGAAGTCTAGTGAGCCTAGCCATGGTTGAGTGAAGGGCCTGGAGTCAAATTGGTCCAGGGCTCCTATGTGATGTATTATGAGTCATCAAAAGGGCCACGGAGTGGCTTTGAGCAGGATTAGGGCACAAAGACAGGCACTCGGAGGTAAGAGTTAAGAGGCAGAGGCCCCTTGTGGGAGGCAGAATACTCTGCCACAAATGCTGGGTCTCAGAAGTGGTGTCTGCTGTTCAGGAGACTCAGAAGGTTGGGGCCATTTTCCATCCATCCATCCATCCATCCATCCATCCAGTCACTGTCCTACTAACTATTAGCATTCTGTGCTGTATAAGTTTGGATTTGGGAGGTGACAGATCGCTGCTCTGGTTTCAGTGTCAAAAAATGTGCAATACAGACAGGGCAGTGGGTGTCACATTAGGGTCACAATGGTCACCTGAGAACACAGGACAGAGTGACCCACTGTCAAATACATGCAGGGGGAATGGAGCATCCTAGAGTAAGTGACGTCTGGACTTAAGGACCATCAGGTGTCTGGTGTGTGCTGATGGAGATGGAGGCAACTTGGGCGAGAACCCGGGGAAGCAAAACAGCACAATGTGCGGGTGGTGAGGGCGGGAGAAGGTCAGTGACTCAAGCATGCTGCAGTCCAACTGCAGGCAGTAGTGGAGGATCTACAACCCACACCCGAGCTCCAGAGTTCCAGGCTGAGGGGCCTGGCAGTCACTCAGCAGGCAGAGAGTGGTTCTTGCTGGTTTCATTTGCTCAGTAAATAATCCCCGAGGTCTGCACATCAGCCATGTACTCAGTGTGGGAGAAGAGGAGGTGTAGACTGAGGAAGGAAAGCATAGGGACCGGGTATGAGATTTGTGCTGGGGGGAGGGGGGCCTTCATGAGTGGCACATACCTGTCATCTTAGTACTGGTGAGACGGAGGCAGGAGGACTGTAAATCTGAGGTTGCTCAAGGCTAAGAAGCTGACTCCAGAAAATGCAAAGAGCTGGGAATGTAGCTGAACTGGGGGAATACTTGCAGAACATTCACAAGGTCCTGGGCTCCATCCTCAGCATCATATAAACTAGGTGTGGTAAATTGTGCTAGTAATCCCTGCATTTGGGAGGTGTAACCTGGAGGATCATAAGTTAAAGGCATTGTCAGCTATATAGTGAGACCAAGGCCAGCCTGTGTTGAACATGGTTTTTAAATAAGGGAGAGAGAGATTTGCTTCTGGGGCTCAGATGGAATTAGAAGGTGGGGAGGCTGAGTCAGGGACCTGGGAGCAGATCTGCGAGGGCAGTTCAGGAAGAGATGCTAGGGAATGGGGAGAGGAATATAAATTCAGTGGCACTAGGAGCAGGGATGGGGGAGAGGGCTAGTGAAGGGAGGGTGAGAGACTAGGCATAATGAGAGGTGAGGTGAAAGAGACAAATGTGGAGGACATAACTGTTCTGAGGCATGATGGGATCTGTAGTCCAAAGGTCAAGCCTAGAGCAAAAGGGGGGTAGGGAGTGGGCAGGAAAAAGTGAAATAAGGGTGGGTGGAGGAATGGAGGGCAGAAGAGATCAAGACCGATGACAAAGACAAGGTGATCCTGAGGGGAGGGGAGAAACGGGAATGACTGGTAAAAGTTTGGCAATCAAAGATAAGAAGTTGCAAAGACACAAAACAGGAACAGAAAACCGAAACCTCACAGTGGCAAGACAGGTAAGAAGTTCATGAGGCATGAGGAATGGGCAGTTCCTTGTCTTTTAAGAAATTGATTTTATTTGAACTGGGTAACACTATATAGGCCAGACTGGCCTGGAACCCACAGACGCCTGCCTCTACCTCCTGAGTACTGGGGTTAAAGGTGTGGTACCATACGCTGCATAGCTTTTATTTTAATATTAGAGAAATATTGGACTGGAGAGGTGGATCCGTGGTTAAGAACACTTACAGCAAAGCTACAGAGAAACTCTGTCTCAAAAACCAAAAAGAAAAAAAGGTGCTTACAGCTCTATCAGAGGAACCGAGTTCAGACCCCAGCACCCATATCAAGTGAAGATAACTCAAGACTCGGGGAATCTAACACCTTCTGATTTCCATGGCTATACCTCCTCATACAAGTGTGTGCACAGTCTCTCCTCTCCCCTCCCCTCTCTCTCATGCACATGGGACATGTGCACAAATACACATAAAATTAGAAAAAGAGAAATACTAAGTATGCTAGCCCTGGTGGTACAGACCACAGGAAACTGAGGAAGGAGGATCACCTGCTTAACTTACTGAGTTCAAGACTGGCTTGGTGAGATTGTTTCCAAACAAATAGGAAAGAGAGGGCTGATGATATAGTTCAGTGGTTAAGCCCCTGCCTGGAATCCCCCAGTGAGGAGTTGGAGATGTGACTCACTGATAGAGCCTACCATATGTGAGGAGTTAGAGTCAATCCCTGGAAGGGGGGCAGCAATCTGTTTTATATTATCTGAAGAGACCTTACATCATGGTAGACAGGCAGCAGAGAGAATGGTTTGGGCCTAGATAGCTTCTCAAGGCCGACCAAGTAACTTCCTTCAGTTCATCCCACCCTCTACTTTCGGATAAAGCCACCATATGAACTGATGAAGGGGTTAACCCATTGATTGAGCCTTCAGGATCCAATCACTTCCCCACAGTCTAACAATCTGTAATGGAATTCTTAATTCCCCTTGTGGGATAATTCACATTCAAACTGTACAAATGATAAGTAGACAAGGCTCTGCTGTTTTGGGATCTCTCCAAGTGACCTCTCTAAAATTCATAAATGAAGGTGGAGCAGGAGGCTGGGGATGTGGCTCAGATGGTAGCAAACACGTTTAGAATTCACAGGTGCTGAGTTCAAACCCCAACACTGCATAAACTGCACGGTGGTCCATGCACAGTGTAAATCCAGCAGTTGGAAGATGGAGGCAGGAGAATCAGAAGTTCAAGGTCATTTCTGGACACGTGAGGAATTTGAAGCTAACTTGGGATGCATGGAGATGCTTTATAAAAAAGAAAAAAGGAAGAAAAGCCAGCGCTGGGTGTGCTGGTGCACACTTACAAACCCCAGCCCTCCAGAAGTTGAAGTAGCCATTGTGAACTGCACATTGAGACTCTCTCAATCGACTACAAAAGCTACAGAGGATACGGTAACCGGTAACCGTATGACAGGGCAGAGCCATTCAAGATAAATTGTTTGAGATGATGAGTGTGAACAAGGATGAGCAACTTGCACACAAATTCCAAAGCATTGGGAACAAAAGACTGATGAGTCCTTGTAGCCCTGGACCAAAAAAAAAAAAATCCATATTCTGTTCCAGCTTTGATGGGAAACACCTGGAGAGCTTTAAGCACAGGCATGCCGGGGCCATAGTTTCGTTTAAACAAAACAATAACAGAATCCTGTCACTGGGCTGGGAATAATTTCACAGTCGAAAAGAGGACTAGGTGGGGGTAGTGCATGCCTGGAGGTGGAAATGAGAAGATCAGGAGTTCAGGGCTGTCCTTGGCTTCAGGAGATTCTCTCTGTCTTCCAAACAAAACCGGAGGGGCTGGGAATATAGCTCAGTCAACAGGGTAACATCCCAGTATGCAGCAGACTTTCGTCGTCGTATAAATGGCATGATGGCTCAGCCCTGTAAACCTAGTGTTTGGGAGATAGAGGCAGGGGCATCAAGAGCTCAAGACCAGCTTGAGCTGCATGGGAGCCTGTATCTGAAACAACAAAAAAGTCAATAGGGGAAGTAAGCATTAGGGGCATGGAATATTACAGATTCTGTCTACAGGGGTGGTGAACTAGGTCTGGGGGCGGGGGCCGTCAAGCAACTAAGGTTAAAAGAAGAAAGGAATCTGAATTGAAGTTGAGCCGTTGTACACTGGACAGATTTTAGGTGGGAGCAATCTTTTGGACGTGCCCAGTTGGTGATGCCTCTGGAAATCCAAGTCAGGGTATCAGGTAGCCAGTTGGTTATGAGAGTGGTGAAGAGGTCAGGGCTGGAAATACAAGTCTTAGTAACGTCAGCATCCAGGAGACATTTAATGCCAGAGAATGGGATAACTGTGAGGGGTAATTAGATAGAGTTATGACTCCGCTCTAGAAACTTGGGAACATCCAAGGCATCTCTGAGAGAGAGAGAGAGAGAGAGAGAGAGAGAGAGAGAGAGAGAGAGAGAGAGAGAGAGAGAGAGAGAGAGGGGNNNAGAGAGAGAGAGAGAGAGAGAGAGAGAGAGAGAGAGAGAGAGAGAGAGAGAGAGAGAGAGATCTGGGAAAAAGCAGAAAGGCAGACCCTCACAGAGGGCAAAGTTAGTGATGGTGGGGTATGGGGCTCAGTGGTAGAGCACCTGCCTAGAATCCCCCAGTGAGGGGCTGGGGCATGGCTCAGTGGTAGAGCCCCTGCCTAGAATACCACAGTGAGGGGATGGGAGTGTGGTTCAGGGCTAGAATGCTTGTCCTAGGATCAGTCCCTACCACGCAAGATGGAAGGGAAAGAAGGGTGGAAAGTACATAATGTTTTATGAAGCAAGAAGTCAGCCATCTGTGCCCAGTGCTGCTGAGAGCTGGAAAAAGATATGGAAGACTAGAAGGTTTGTGACAGGGACAGTGGTGACGAGCTCAATAAGAGGTGACTTTTGTCTGATTTCAGAGATAAAAGCCTCGATCCAGCATTAAAGGGGATGGGGGCGTGGGGGAAGAAGAGGAAAACAAAATCCAAGCAATTATTTTGGTATGCAAACCATACAGAGCTGGGTGTAGTGGTTCACACCAATAATCCCAGCACTAAAGAGGCTGAGGCAGGGGAATGATGCAGTTCAAAGCCTGCCTGAGCTTCTGATGGAGACATTTTCTTAGAACAATAATGAAATATTTTAAAGAGGGCCGGTGGGATGGCATAGCAGGGGCACACTTGCTGGCAAGTCTGACCACCTGAGATTAATCCTTGCGCTGGACCCACAAGCTAGAAGGAAAGAACTGACCCCTGCAAGTTGCTCTCTGCTCTCCCCTAACATTCATACCCCTATACCACCCCAAAATAAATGTAGTAATCTTTTAAAATTTAAAAATAGAGAAGGAGGCCAGGTGGCGGCAGAGCACACCTTTAATCCCAGCACTCAGAAGCAAAGGCAGGCGGATCTTTGTGAGTTGGAGGTCAGCTTGGTCTACAGAGTGAGCTCCAGGACAGCGAAACAGTGAAACCCTGTCTTGAAAAACACAAACAAACAAACAAACAAACAAAAAATGGGGGGGGGGAGTAAAATGTACAGACAAAAAGGCAGAAAATACACCCCAAATTTCTAGAGCTGTTACAGCAGATGGGCCGGAGAAAGATGGGGAAACCCATGGCCCAGGAGTAGTTGGGGGTGGAGACCAGTTCAGTAGCAGGCAGGGAAGAAAGGCTTGGGGGAACTTCCCGAATGAGGCTGTGTTGTCTGCTTTCCAGCGCCTGCTGCTGACATTGTGGGGCTGGGAGGCCATCCAGCCCTGAGAGATCCAGTGAAGTCGCCTTCATTCATTCAGAAATGAAAATGCACTCAGCACTCAGGAATGTCTTCTGGGGACTTGCGGATGCCAGGCCCTGTCATTTAAGAGCTGTGTCCACCTTGTCATGGTATGGGAGCTAGGCCAGGTAGAACAGAGACAGGTGTTCTGGTGGACACTGAAGAGGAGCGGGTCACATCTTTCCTCATCTGGACAGGCAGCTGTGCATATGCCATCTCATTGCACCAGGCCATTCATTCACCCATACTTCATCCATTCATACCACCCATTGAAGTGTCTCGGACTTCCTGTGTATCTGACCTTGAGATGGATACCTGAGAGGACCGTGACAGGCTGGGCCAGTCTAAGGCGACAGTCAGACGCACAATCACCTCCAATGATACAGTCCAGAGCAGGGCCATCAGAGGTGGCACGGGTGTTCCAGGGACCTGGTGACGGCACCTGGGAAAGGAAGGAGTTGGTAAAAGGTGGGTCCCGCCTGGGTGGTCCACAGAAGGGCTGAGAGGGAGTGAGGGGTGAAGAAGACATGCCATGCAACATGGCTGTCCCCGTCTAGGTGTCTGCCCCTGAGGGAGCTGAACTGCATGGAAGGTCCCCCAGGGGCACTCAGTCTAATAAATCCATGAGGATAGCTGCTCTGCTTCATGCGTCCCAACCTCCCCATTCCCTGAGCTCTGCCTTTTCTTCCTTCTGGGGGACTGAGGCCTCAACACTGCAACTGATCTATATCCATCGATACCCAGGATTCTGGCCACCATGACCTCTTCCAGACCTTCAGCAAATTCAGTCAACTCCGCTAGAGATACAGGCCCTAGCCCTTCTTCCTCAGACCCTGGAGTCCCCCTCTCCACTCTTGTCACCCTCCCATTCCCCAGTCCAGACTCAAGGGTCAGGCCTCAGCCCTCCTCCCTCTGACCCAGGACTCCTGACCCCAGCCTCTTCCCTCTGACCCAGGACTCCTGACCCCAGCCTCTTCCCTCTGACCCAGGACTCCTGACCCCATCCTCTTCCCTCAGACCCAGGACTCCTGGCCCCAACTTCTTCCCTTAGATCCAGGAGTCCGGGTCCACTCTCCTTTCTCAGGCCCTCCTCCCTCAAACTCAAGAGTCCAGGCTTCAGTCCAACTCCTTCAGACGCAGGAGTTTGAACCAAGCCCTCCCCCTTCAAACCTAGAAACCCATACTCAAGCCCTTCTCCCTCAGACTCAGGGGTTCACCCCACCCCCACCTTCAATCCTCCTCCCTAGCCTCTGGCTCTTAGAACCCTGCAATTCCGCTAGCGAGTTTCCAGCCCAGCCTGCTCAGGACAGAAACACAAGTTCTCAGTCCTTCACTGGCTCTTTGCCTCCAGATTTTGGAGTTTGGACTTTGCAGCCCCGCCTCCGGACCCATGGGGAAACAAAATTCCCTAGGTTCTGCTAGTTGAAGACCCGGCCCCCAGCCCCTCCTTCCTCGAGGCCTCTTCTCCCCCGCCCCTTGTCCCCTTAAAATACCCGGGATCCCTATGGCAACAGGCACCCGCGACAGGTGCGGGTGTTATTTACGGGTCGAGCCCGAAATAGCCGGTGGGGTGAGGGGGTGGGCGGATGGGGCGAGGCCGGGAGCGAGCACAGCGGGTCCTGAGGGCCGAGCGGGCGGAGGCGAGCAAAACCGGACGCTTCGGAGGCATCGCGGAGCTGGGGCCGGCGCAGCGCGGAGGCAGGAGAGCGCGAGGGGCCCGTACCCGGGAGACCCGGGTGGGAAGACCGAGAGGGACGCGGGACCCCGAGCTGAGACTGGAGCGAACCCGGCCGGGCCGGCCCTGGGAGCCAGGGGGAGGGGGAGCCGAGTGACTAGACGGACTCACTGTGTCCCTTCCCAGGTCCTGTGCTTCCAGGGTACTTGGCTCTGGTTTTCTGAGCCACAGTGTGGACCACAGTGCCTTGATCTGAGCCCTGTCGGGACCCCAGGTCTTTCTCCTGGGCCCTTAAAGAGTTCCCAAGACTCTTTTTCTGGACACCACATAGATTCTCAGCCACTGTTGAGACCTGGGCTCTTTTCTGTGTAGTTCCTGACTACACATCCCCTTTCCCCAGAATTCCAGAAGAGTTTACCAGGATCTGTTGTGAATAGTGGAGGATACTCCTTACCTCTCTGAGACTTGGAGAGGTTTCTATTCTTCCCTGGGGAACCACAACTCTACCTCTTGTATAATCTAAAGGTGGTGTGATTCCTCCCTTTACAAACTCCGAGCCCGAAGAATTCTAGACTATCTCAAACACACGAAACACCTCAACTTCTCTCTCTGAGAAAATTCTGAGGCTTACTGGAGACCCCATCAGCAGCCTGCAGAGACTGGGCAGGTCTTCCCCCTGAAGCTCCCCAGGGTAGGTGAACCTCAGAGGAGCCTGTCTTTTCCTCTAGGCCTCTCCTGTGCCAAATTCATGTGCACAAGCCCGGGTGGTGTCTGTTTAAACCCACCAGGTATGCTTAGGCCAAGAATATAGTTTATTTGCTTGTTTGCTTTCGCTTATTTTTCCTCTCCGGAGAGGCAGAGGCTTCCTCTTGCATTCGGGGTTCAGCTTTTGCTTATTCCCAATCTAGTTGACACTGAGCACCCCACTTCCTTGAAAAGCCCAGGCCCTGCTTCCTGCTCCTCAGGGCCCCTTGCACAGGTCTGTCTGACTCCTTGAAGCTCACCTGAGCTCTGCCCGCTCCCATCATCATGATGATGTGGTCTAACTTCTTCATGCAAGAGGAGGACCGCCGTCGAGCAGCTGTGGGACGGCGTCGTGCCCAGGGACAGCAGAATCTTGGCTTGACTCCGGAACTCGAGGGCAAGATCAAGCTAGTGTTGCTGTTGGCTGCCGTGGGTGCTACCCTGGCTGTGCTGTCGGTGGGCACCGAGTTCTGGGTGGAATTTAATACATACAAGACCAACGGCAGCACCGTCTGTGAGGCTGCCCATATGGGGCTGTGGAAGGTGTGCATCAAGCGACTGTGGCAGGCGGACGTGCCCGCGAGCAGGGAGACCTGTGGCCCGGCTGAGCTGCCAGGAGGTGAGAGGCTGTGTCCTGAGCCTGTGTCCCACAGTCAGGGAGAAAGAAGCTTATGTCTGGGAAAACTTTGTTCCAGGAGAAAAAAAAAGTCTTATCCCTGAGAGTTTGTGACTAGATCAACCTGTGCTCACAAAAACTGGAGAGAAAGGGGGTGTGGGGAGAGAAGTGCAGACCTAGCCCATGTCCCCAAGCAACATATCCCCCAAAGTAATTTGTTCCTTTTATAAAAAAATTTTAATTTATTTTTTTAAAAAAACATTCTTTTCTCATTTTACATACCAATCCCAGTTCCCACTCCCCCCCCCTTCTGCTCTCTCCATCCACCTCCCTCTCCACCCCACTCCCCATTCACTCCTCAGAGAGGGTAAGGCTTCCTATGGAGTTAACAAAGTCTAGTAGAGCTTTGAGGCAGGACCAAGCCCCTCCCAGCTATATCTAGACTCCTGGTCCCACTGCCAGCGTCCCCATATTCAGAGGGCCTAGTTTGGTTCTATGCTGGACCCCCCCCCCCAGTCAGTCTGGAGTCAGTGAGCTCGCATTAGCTCAGGTAAGCTGAAACAACTTGTTTCTTAAAGTTTGTCTTCTAGCTATATGGCCTGTGCCCCAGACCAGCCTGTACCCCTAGAGACAGCCTGTGCCTTCAGACCCAGCTGGTACCCTCAGAACAGCCTGTAACCACCCCCGCCAACCGTATCCCCTAGAACTGCCTGCATTCCCCATCAGACAGCCATGCACCCACAGACAGCCTGTGCCCTTAACTAGAAGCCTGGAGACATCCCACATTCCCACTCTGTGAGGCTCTGTGGAGACAGACCACCCTACGCCCACCCGGAAGTCATAAAATCTGTGCCGATTCTCTGTTTGTGGATACAATCAAACGAAATTCTTGCCCGGTACCTCTTACAATTCTGGGTGCACATTGTCTCTCTTGAGAAATGTTTATACCAGCCTCTCTCACCTCTGTGTCGTCAGAACGTACATTCCCACCCTTCTCCCTTGCTCCGTAGGCACCCACACCCTTCGTTTCCCCACATGGTTGTTCCTTTGCTTTCAGCTGTGCCAGAGGTCTATCCTGTACCTCTCACTTTCTGACAGAACACGCTATGCCCTTTTCTTAGACAAGTGGGACATTCTATACCACCCCGGGAACTGGATGGTGTTTATTTTACCTCTTTTAACTCAAGGACAGTATTTGATGCCCATTAAAACCACGTTGGATGTCACTTGTCTGATGAGATCTCTGCGGTGCTGCTCTCCAGTGTGTACCTGATAGTCTCAGGACCCCTGATGGAATACCCTTTCACCCCTTCTGGGCTCTGGTTGGATTTCCTTTCATTCTCAACCGCTACTTTTCCAGATGTGGTATGGAACCCGAAATACAATGTTCTAAGCCTTTGAAGTGGGAAGTCACTGTTTGTGGCTTGAACTACCTCTCTGTCCTGATCAGCTATTTTAATTCTTGTGCTTCTCACTGCTTGGGACCTCAGTCAAGATGATCCCAAATGGGATAATGAAAAAGAATATGGGATGCTAGCTGGGCCTGGTGGTGCAATTCTGTAGTCATAGGTACTCAGGAGGAATGAGAGCTCGAGGGCAGCCTGGGATACCAATGGAGTTGAAAGTCAGCCTGAGCAACTTCGTGAGATCCTCTCTAAAAAAGCAAAAAGAGGACTGGAGGCATGTCTCAGTGGTAGAACACTTGCCTAGAGTCCCCCAGTGAGGGGCTGGGTGTGTGGCTCAGAGATAGAACACCTGCTTAGAATCTCCCATGAAGGAGCTGGGAGTGTGACTTAGTGGTAGAGCACCTGCCTAGAGTCTCCCAGAGAGGAACTGGAGCATAGCTCACTGATGAGTTTCACCATGCTCGTTCTAGAGGGGAGAAAAATAAGGAGCAAGAACACTTAGTGTCCAGTCTGTGCCTCAGGCTAGTTCTATGTGGTTTGACTTTTAGATGTCTCGGTTCCTAAGAGCTGTTTTGTTGCTGTAACTAGAACTTAAGGTCTCAGAGACCCTCATTCTTTGGGAGAGAAGATTGCCCGCTGCCACTTCACCGTGTATGATGAGGTCCTTCACACCTCTTGCTGTTTCCTCTGCTTGTCAGAAAGGACTTCACCGCTGAGCATGGCAACACACGCCAGTACTGAGTAGGCAGAAGCAGCAAGACCAGGAATTCAAAGCCAGCTTGGCTACATAGTGAGTTGTAGGTCAGCCTAGGCTACATAACACCTTGTGCCAAAAACAAAACAAAACAAAACAAGAGGACTTCACCTTTCTTACAAGGCCATTCCCAAAATACCATAATTCTGTTCATCAGAGGACCTCTCTTAGATTCCACTGTCTCAAAGAAATAACTTCATTTGAAAATTAAAAGAAAGCCATTGCACGTCCCTTGGCTATCCTATCAGAGAGTGACTCACTCTGTTGCTTCCTAAGTGAGTTTACTCTGTCCTCTGTGGGACGTGGAAACAAAGTCCTGTTATCAGCAGCCAAATGGAATGCCAGATACCACACCCAGTCTCAGAAGGAACTCTACTGTCTCATGGGTCTAGAATGTATCCTCTGCCAGTGTCCATAAAGAGCATCTTCCTTGCCTGGAGACTGCAACCCGACTTCCCCAAGCTGATATCTGGTGTGCCCGCTACTCTCACTTGATGTGGATTTATCCCCTTGTCCCTTCATCTCTCCCCCTTCAATTGGTAAAGTTTCATTTCCACTTCTCCAAATTGTCTGACTCCCCTTTCAACATTCTCAACCCCTTGTGATTCTGCACACTCCCTTCTGTTCTGTGCGTCAGTTTCCTCGTATGTAGAATAAGAGTAGGTTGAAGTGTAGGATGCATTCTGGGAACCCGGGGTGTGATTTAATTGGTGTACTTTTTGCCTAGCATGCACAAAGCCCTGAGTTTGATCCCCAGCATCACATAAATCAGGCATGGTGCCATATGCCTGTAGTCCTAGCATTTGGGAGGTGGAGGCAGCAGGGTCAGAAGTTCAAAGCCATCTTTTGCTTCGCAGCAGGTTTAAGGTCAACTTAGGGTACATGAAACCCCGTCTTAGCATGTTAGAACATGCTGTTTTTAACTTTAAGCTTTCTCATATTTAAATTAACAACAGTATTGAGTGAATTTTACATATGTTTACATAAAATGCTTACACAAAAATTATTGTCTGCCTTCAGAAGGTTCTCATGCTATGTCTTAAATTTTTTTTTCTTTTTAGAGGCAAAGTCTCACATGGGCCAGTCTGACACCATATCTGCATATTTTAAAATTTATTTCCCACGCTGTACATGGTGGTACATACCTTTAGTCCCAGCACTCGGGAAGCAGAGGCTGGAGGATCTTTCTGTCTATATAGCAAATTCCAGGATAGCCAGGGTTACACAGGGAGACCTGTCACCAAAAAAATCTTTCTTAATTCAATTCTCTAATATGTTTGGCATTGCAGCCATACACACATGTTTTGACTTGGAAAAAAATGTAGAATTTGAGTTTATATATATGTGTGTTTTGGTTTGAAAAAATTGTATTATTTGGCTTTGTATTGTTTTTAATGTCATTTTTCTTACTCAACACTGCTTTCCAAATCTCTCTCAGTTGCTTTATTTTTTTTTTTAGTTCATCATGATTCTGTTATAAAGCTGTCCACGAGAGCATCTATCTCAACTATCTGTCGCCTGAGAGATGGACACTAGATTATTTCCTACTCCATTTTAGTAAGCGATGCCACAGAGAACAATCGTATCTATATTCCCATATGTGGTATTTTCCTTCTTGGAATATCCAGAAGTGAAATTATTGTGTTACAGGGCAAAGACATATAAACACGCGTCACTTAGTAGCAGAGATGTATTCTGAGAAACTCATGTTTTAGCTGATTCATGTTGGAGAACACCAAAGCATGTACTCGTGTAGATTAGGGTGGCTTCTATGTGACAAAATCATGACTTAGTTTACTTTTACTTTTAACTTGTGTGTGTATGTGGGGGGCAATGTGTACCTGTGTGTGAAGGCTCAGAAAGGTCCACCGAGCCCAGAAAAGGGCATTGGATCTCCAGTGCTGGAGTTGCTGTTTTAAGCTGCCTGATGAAGTTACCAGGACCCTCGCTCGGGTCCTCAGCAGGGATGGGATATGTTCTTGACCACTGAGCCATCTCTCTAGCTGCGAGGTGACGTACTCATTGTCCCTTAGTCACACACCTGGCCTATTACTGACTGAACGGTTATTGCCTGCTGTACACCCGCACTTCATGCTTTAATATGTCAGAGTCCTTCACGTACAGACTAGTGCCGGTTTACCCTCCCAGCTGCTTCCCCTTCTCCCCCCAGTGCTTCACACTGCCCTTTCAATATTTGCCCAACTAATTGATCTGAAGTGCTCCCTCCCTGCTGGTTCAAGTCGCATTTCTCTGCCTCCCGCTGCAGCAGTCTCTCTTCATGTACTTGTGAACGCTCTAGATTTGCCCGCCTGTGAATCACTATTCATATCCTTTGCCTGTGTTTCAATGGGGTAACTTCTCTTCCCCCTTGCTAATCGGCAGGAGCTCTTTGTGTATGCAGCATAGGAGAGAGGCCTCTTTCCCGAGTCCCTTAACCTCCTGGTACCTGCATCTTGCTGTCCTTTGTTGAATGAAATGAAAGCTCGCTTCCAATCCACTTGCTCCTCAGACTCACATGAAGGAGCTGGGAGGAGAGATTGTCAACTCATTTAAAGAGGAAAAGAATCTGAGAGTCCAGAGAGGTGAATGGCTCACTGTGCCAAAGGCTTAGACCATAGGTCTTGGGGTTAAAAACGCATTCCCCAGACATCAGGGATGTGGAAAGTGATGTTTGCATCTCGGTGTTGCTGTCCATCTCGGTACATTTGTTTATCTAATCTGCTCCCCCAACCGTGTGTGTGTGTGTGTGTGTGTGTGTGTGTGTGTCACACACACACACACACACACAGAGTCAGCTCTCTCCTTCTACCGTGTGGATTCCAAGAATCGAACTCAGGTCCTCAGGCTTTTTAGCACAAGCACCTTCATATGCTGCACAGTCTTGCCAGTCTGATTTTGCTCCGCTGTGTGTCAGTCATACTAATATTCTATTTTTAGCTCCCTGTAAGTGTCTGGGTAGTGTCCAGCCTTGAGCTTACACAGAACTTCATGTCATCGCCTCCTCTTTTTCTTTTCTGAACCCCACAGAAGCAAACTGCACCTACTTCAAATTCTTCACCACAGGGGAGAATGCACGCATCTTCCAGCGAACCACCAAGAAAGGTGAGGACATCTCACATTGCGACAAGGGAGGGGTGAGGGTAGCCTGACAGCTCTGAAGGAGCTAGTGACAGCGTGGTGCTCGGGATGGGCTCAGATCTGGTACTGTCCCATATTTGGAGGGTGATTGTGAGTTAAAAGTGGGGACAATAGTCAGGCAGTGGTGGCACACACCTTTAATTCCAGCACTCGGGAGGCAGAGGCAGGCGGATCTCTGTGAATTGATTGGAGGCCAGCCTGGTCTACAGAGAGAGTTCCAGGACAGCCAGTACTGTTACACTGAGAAACCATGTCTCAAAAAAAAAAAAAAAAAAAGAGTGGGGGCAGTGATCACCAGACCTTGTGTCCAACATTGTGACACTGACTCAGCCTGTACCCTGTGGGGCTGGGACAAATTATACTTCCTTTCTGTATTGAACATTATAAGCATTTTAAGTTAAGCTCAACACTCACAGTTTGTTAGCACTAACTCTAGTTCTTACGATAACCCTACAGTTTGGAACTTTAGCTTCATAGCTTCATCACCCAAGTGAGAAAACAAATCAGAAATGGTCGAGAGTATTACTATCCATTTCCACAAAAGGGCAGGGATACAATCCCAATCCTCCCCCAAAATCTGAATCTACAGAATCGTATGTGGAAAAATGAAAATGTTTAACTTGTTCTTTGGTCCATATAATGGTTTCGAGCCCCATGGGAGTGCCAAGTGCTCAGAAGGTGGCTGGTGTAATGGGGACATGAATTTTTAATTTTAACTTCAGTGAATTTAAAATGGAATGTGTCTCTGATAGCTACCACTATACCAAACAATCAGACTCTGAGAACTTTGTCCTTTCTACCCTAAATCCAGCTTCTTGGACATTGCTCCAATGCCCCAGTGTCTTCATAGAGGAACTGGGATCATTTCATGTCTCTCGCTGTTAGTTAGTTAGTTAGTTTGTTTTTTAATGAGAATTTAATGCAGCTAAACTCTTATGAGACCTGGTGCATACAAGGGTCCCTTACCTTCTCCATTCATTTCTTGTGTGACCTGAGTCAAATCTCTGTGCACCTCTGAGATGGTAAAATCACCTAGTGCACTGGTCTGGACCACCTCCTATGGTGCCGAACAGTACACCGAGCACTTCCTGTGACTTCTGATCCTGATTTTCCAGAGCTGAAGACTGAGGGCAGTGTTGGTCTTTACCAGAATTTTCCAGCTGGGGGGTAGTTGGGAAAAATTACAACTTGGGTGATTACAAGATAATGAATCATCTTTACCACTGTCTCCTACACCCTGCTTCCTTCACTTCATTATCTGTTGACCCAGTGATGACCAAAGGACAAGTTGCAGATGGTCATTCCAGTATCCCTGACCTGGACTTGTCCCCCTTTTGCTCTAATACCTGAGCCAAGTAACTGACTGACCTATCCGAGTCTCCCTTCCTTCAACGGTGTAAATAACACCCTCTCAGGAGGACTTTGAAGTCCTCCGTCCTTCTTGTGGAGGAGTGCTGTCCATGCCCCTGTTCCGATGTTCTCTGCCTCTTCCTTGCCGCCCCCCCCCCCCTTGCAGAAGTAAACCTGGCAGCTGCCGTGATAGCTGTACTGAGCCTGACAGCCATGGCCTTGGGCTGCCTCTGTGTCATCATGGTGCTCAGCAAAGGTGCAGAGTTCCTGCTCCGCTTGGGAGCCGTCTGCTTTGGCCTCTCAGGTGAGAGCTGAGTGTGTGGAGGCTAAGGACATTGCATGCTAGGAAGTGAGGTCTCTACATGCTGCTGCATGCTGGGAGGTGGAAACTGTATCGAGTTGCATGCTGGAGATGGAAACTGTATCCAATTGCATGCTAAAGGTGGATCTCTAAGCGCTGTTGCTCTGGGTGTTTGGATCTCTACCAACTGTTATATGCTGGAAGTTAGCATCTACACTCACATTTGAATGCTGAGTGCTCCGCACAATGTTGCATGCTGGGAAGTAGAATCTCCAAGTCCAGCTGCATGTTGGGAGTAAAGAGAAACCCAAGAGCTCTATTATACTCAAAGATGGAAGAATTTCAAGGACTCTTACTGGCAAGGTTTATTTATATTTAAATGCGGTTTTACATTTGGAGCTGGGAGGGCCAAGAATCTCCGTACACTGAGAATGAGCTCTCCACTCGCTGTTTCATGCTGGGAGCAGAGGAGGTGTCTCTCCAAAGGCTCAAAGATGGAAGAATTCCAAATTCTGTTGTCGGCAGAGGAGTGGAATGTCTCTAAATAATATTATTTTGGGTTTGGACATGGGCTCTCCATTGACTGATACCAAAGGGAGGGGTAAATCTTCAGGCACTATTGCTTGCCAGGAGTTGGAGTGAGTTTATGTAAAATATAAAATCCAGGAACTTTCTAAATCCTGTTGTTGCATGACAATTGAATGCTCTCCAACCACTCTTTTAGATTTGGCTTGGAATCTCCAACACTGTTGTGTAATTGTGTAATTGGAGGAAGAGGCAGGTCTGTGAGCAGTATTGCATGCTGGGTGGTGAAAAAGCTCAGGAGCTGAGTAGGTCCAAAGATGAGAGAGTCTCAAGCTATTAAGAAGGTTTCCAAAACAGTCTTTAAGTTTTGGACTTTGAGTCTGCATGGACTGTATTGTATTCTTTTTTTAAAAGATTTATTTATTTAATGTGTATGAGTGCTCTGTCTTTATGAATACCAGAAGAGGCAACCAGATTCCATTACAGTTATAGTTATGAACCACCATGTGGCTAATGGGAATTGAATTCAGATCCTTTGGAAGAGCAGCTGGTGCTCTTAACCACTAAGCCATCTCTCCAGCCTCATGTGCTATATTCTTTTCTTTTTTTCTCCATTCCTGGTGGCATTGCAATACCAGGTCGATGAGTGGAGTGGATGGAGTAAGCTCCTATTCCAACTCCTAACTCCAAAAATCCATTTAATATAGAGGACACATTAGATATTAATTGGATAAGGACAGATACTACACATTATTTTGGCCAAAACACCTAGAAGCGACGTGTGTTATATTTTTGTAGGGGAAGATTCAGAAAAAAAAAAGGCCACATCTTGTAAAATGTATACCTCAGTAATAACAAAGACTTCAGTTTGGTTGACATCTACCTCAGAGCTTTACATTGAGTGGACTAGCTAAAGGTTGCTATGGTTTATTTATTTACTTAAAAAATTTTTAGTGCCTTATTTAGCTTTGCTTTATGTGAGGGTGTCAGATCCCCTGGAACTAGAGTTACAGACAGTTGTGAGTTGCTGTGTGGGTGCTGGGAATTGAACCCAGGTCCCCCAGAAGAGCAGCCAGTGCTCTTAACTGCTGAACCATCTTTCCAATCCCTATTTTTTTTACTTATTTAATTATCTATTTATTTAATATGTATGAAAGCTTGACTTCATGCATGTCTGCTCACCATATGTGTGCTTGGTGCCTGAGGAGTCCAGGGAATGGAACTGGATCCCCTGGAACTGGAGTTACAGATGATAGTGAGCTGCCATGTGAGTGTGGGAACCCAACCTGGGTCCTTTGCATGAGCAGCCAATGCTCTTAATCATCAAGCCATCTCTCCAGCCCCAAAGGCGATTAGTCTTCATTTTGTTGATAAGAGCACCGAAGTTCAGAAAAGTCAAGTGACCTCTCATAGACTCACAGCCCCTAATGGCAGGGGTGGGACTTTTCTCTTTTAAATTTGCTCACAGTTTTACATTCATGCATACACAGACGCATAGATATGATGTGCGACACCTTGTTCGCACCCCCACCCGTGCATTCCCTCTTGTCCCTCTCCTGCCGACCCCCTTCTTTACGAGTTCTCTTTCAACCTTCATGGCTTTGGTTTTTGGTGCCCCACTGCATTTAATTAGGGTTGCCTGCATGGGTAGAAGGTCATTTGCTTCACCAATGTCAACTTACCCGTGGCTACAGCACCACTGAGGAATGTATCTCCATTTCCATAACTGATTGTTGATGGACCAGTCTTGCACAGGTAGTCACCCAGAGGCAAGGTTTGATGCTAAGCTTTCTTGGCCTCTTTCACATCATGCAAATGATGAGCTGGTGATAGAGATGGTGGTGATGACAGTAAAAGTGATGATAGTAATGGTGATTACGGTGGGGTTAGGGTAGGGATAGAGATCATGGTGGCAATAGGTTGTGGTGATGATGGTGATGATCGTGGTTGTGACTCTAGAGATGGTGGTGGTAGATATTAGTGTTTATGTGGTGGTTGTGACAATGCTGGTGTCATTGCATTATTAGTGATAATGGTAATAATGATGGTGGTAGTGATAGATGTTGTCCTAGTTAACCTTTCTTCCTTCCTTCCTTCCTTCCTTCCTTCCTTCCTTCCTTCCTTCCTTCCTTCCTTCCTTCCTCCTGAATGCTGGGATTTAAGGCATGTGCCACCATCTCCTGGTTTCTACAGCTGTGATAAGCACCATCATCAAAAGCAACTTGGTTAGAAAAAAAGGTTTATTTCATCTTATGGTTCCAAGTAATAGTTCATCACTAAGGAAAGTCAGAGCAGGAGCCAAAGCAGGGCAGGAGACAGGAACTGAAGCAGAGGTCATGGAAGAATACTGTTTACTGTTTACTGGCTTGCTTCTTTTGGCTTACTCAGCCTTCTTTTTTATATCACTCAGGAATACTGATTTCCATAGCAGCTACATTTTAAACTCACCTCAACAGTGAACATTCTTGCCAGCATTTGTTTTCATGTATCAATTACTAGCCTGGAATTTATTATGTAGCCCAGCCTTGACTTTGTGGTAATCCTGAGTACTAGGAATAGGCACACACAATCATTCCTGACTCTCCCTACTTTAAATATTTTGAGGTGCTGGAGAGATGGCTCTTTGGTTAAGAGCAATTGGTGTTCTTCCACAGGATCCAAGTTTGGTTTCCTGCATTTATGTTAGGCAGATCATAGCTGCATGTAACTCCAAATCCAGAGGATCTGCTGCTCTCTTCTGTTCTCTGTGGATATTGCACTCACATAGTACACACACAAGCACACACACACACACACACACACATACACAGAGGCATGCACACCTGCACACACACGCAGACACGCAAAAATACACCTTTAATTTTTTTCTCCTTACCACATATCACTCTGAAATCCTCTTTTTTCCTCCTATATTTGTTTCTGAAGGTGCAATATAGCAGCCCCTAGCCAGTAGTATCTAATTTGTGTTTTTTTTTTTATTGACAAGAATGCCTAAGGATTGGAGAAAAATCCTATAAAAAGAGCTAGCTAGGTTTGTGGTAAATACCTATAAGCCTAACACTCAGGAGACTAAGGCAAGAGAATTGTGAGTTAGAGAACAGCCTGAGTTACATAGCAAGATTCTGTCTCAAACTTAGAAGCAAACAATTCCTTTAAAAAATGATAATTATTTCAACTGGAGTGATGGATCAGTTGTTAAGAATACGGGAAGCTTTTCCAGAGGACCCAGGTTCAATTCCTCACAACCATCAATAACTCCAGTCCCAGATGATCTGATACGTCTGGGGGCATTTTGTGCACACAGCGCTCAGACAAAAATGCAGGTAAAACACCCATCCACAGAAAAGTGTTTGCCAGGTGTGATGGCACATGCCTTTAATTCCAGAACTTGGGAGGCAGAAGCAGGAGGATTCTGTGAGGTCCAAGCCAACCTGGTCTACAAAGTAAGCCCTGGACAGCTAGAACTACATAGAGAGAGCCTGTCTCAACCTCTGCCTCCTAACCCAAATAAAAGTGATTAAGCCAGGCATAGTGGAAAATGCTGTAATCCCACTATTTAAACAGATGAAGTGGGAGCTGGAGGTGTAACTGTGGACGAGCACTTGCCTAGCAAGTACAAGGCCCAGGATTTAATCCCTAATGCCTCAAAAATAAGGTGGAAAGTAATTGAGAAAGACACATTGCATTGACCTCTGGCCTTCACATATACACACATGGGTAGGCACACATGCGCGCGCGCGCACACACACACACACACACACACACACACACACACACACAGAGGTCTCCATGTTAAGCACAGATGTAAAGCTTGCTTCCTGTCCCCCATTGGTGGAATGAGTATGACCATTGAATGACCGAAGGAAAACATAAGAGGGTCCTTATTTGATAAAGGAATGAAGGAGGGGTGACAGTCTCAAACCTGAACTGGAGTCCCAGAGCTAAGAATTTTACTCTCTACTTTTCATTCATTCATTCATTCATTCATTCATTCACTTATTCCTTATTGTTGTTTTGCCTACATGTTTGTCTATGTAAGGATGTCAGATCTTGGAGCTACAGACAGTTGTGAACTACCATGTGGGTGCTGGGAATTGAACTCGGATCCTCTGGAAGACCAGTCAGTGGTCTTCACCACTGAGCCATCTCTCCAGCCCAAATCTCTCTCTGTTTCTCCCCCCACAGGCCTGCTGCTCTTGGTCAGCTTGGAGGTGTTCCGGCATTCCGTTAGAGCCCTGCTTCAAGGAGCCAGCCCTGACACTCCCCCGGCTCCACGCCTGACCTATGAGTATTCCTGGTCCCTGGGGTGCAGTGTGGGTGCTGGCCTGATTCTGCTGCTGGGGGGAGCCTGTTTCTTGCTGCTCTCCCTGCCTTCCTGGCCGTGGCGGTCACTGTGCCCCAAGCGGGGGGACCCAACCACCTAGAGCCCTAGAGCCCTGGCCTGCTTTCTGCAGGCATCTGCCAAGCCTGCCTCAGCTTCCATCTTTCTCCTCAAGACTTTCCATCTCTCTTCTAGAGAGACTGTTCTTCCCACTCTGGGGGTCCATTTTACAAAACATCTTGGCCCCTCATTTTCTCTCTGTAAATAACACTTTTGGGGGTGCAGGAGAGATGGCTCAGTAGGTAAAGTACTTGCTGAGCAAGTCATGAGGACTTGGGTTTGGGCTTCCAGAACACACTTTAAATACCAAATCAGTGGTACATGTCTGTAATCCCCGGGGTTGGGAATAGAGACTGGGGGAATCATGGCACTTAGTGGCCAGAGAGCGTGGCCAATGAATTAGGTCCACGTTCAGTGAGAGACCCTGTCTCAAAAAATAAGTTGGAAGCCACGGAGGAAGATGCCTCATGCTGAACTCTGACCCCCTCCCAATGCACATGTGCACGCACGCATGCACATGTGTGCACGTGTATACACACACACACACACACACACTTTCTTGGTAGCTGAATTTGGGTTGCTTGGGGGAGGATGAGAAGAAGCTATGTGCAAATGCGGGCTTCCTGGAGAACCTTCCAGGGACCTGTTGGGGAGATGGCTATAAGCTGGTGGGAGGGCAGGGGTCCCAGAAGGATGGGGGGGGCTTCCTTGTCTGAGTCTGTGTTGATTCATTTGAGGGAGAGATGTCCTCCGCCGGCCTGGTGGGGCAGAGAAGAGCCCAGGCCTGACTTTACTGTGATCTGATTTGGGATTAAAGGTTTGAAGATGTGACAACTTTGGTTTGGAGCCTGTCTGTGTGGAGCTCATGCATTCTAGGGTGGGGCAAGGAACCCCTGTCCTCTTCATTCATTGGCCACATGAGACTGTCTGTCCTGGAGTCACCAGTTCACATGCCTACACGTGCAGACGAGAACTTGGAGAAGGAAACAGTTCAGAATGCAGACATGGCTACAGTTTGAATCTTGTCCTTCCCCAAAGTACACGTGCTAGGAACACTCAGTACACCTTTGTTTGGTTATAGTTTCATGTGTGTGCGCGGGTGTGTGCATGCGTGTATATTCACTGTGCAAAATGTTGGTTTTCATATTTATTAATTTTTGTTTTATGTGTGAGTATTTTGCCTGTGTGTGCTTGGTGACATTGGAGGTCAAAAGAGGGAATCAGAACTCCTGGAAATGGAGGTACAGATGGTCGTGAACCACCATGGGAGTGGGAGTCAAACCTGTGTCCTCTGCAAGAGCAACAAGTTCTTTTAACAGCTGAGACATCTCTTCAATCCCTCCTATGACATTCTGCACAAATACATTTGATCACATCATCATCTGCCCCACCCCCACTCTCCTACCTATTCCCAAGTAGCCCCCCTCCTATCTTATATTATTTTTTTTTAATTTGAGGTGTAGTCTCACTATGTAGGCCAGGCTGGCCTCAAATTCTCAATATTCCTGCCTCTGTCTCCTGATTACTAGGGTGTCAGGCAGGCACTACTGTGTCCACCCCTGATGAAGTGTTTGTTGTTTGTTTGCTCCAAGGCAGGATCTTGCTTTGAACTCCTGGCTTGTCTAAAACTCACTGTGTAGTCAAGGCTGGCTGCAGACTTGCAGTGATTCTCCTGCCTCAGTGCCAGGGTCATAGGTGTGGTTCTGGAGAGCAGGTCCTTACAGACATAATCACAGCAAAGCAAGGTCTCGAGGGTTGGCTCTAATTCAACCCAACTTGTGAAAAGGGGAGATGGGGACACAGAGACGGAAATTCACAGAGGGAAGGCAGCATGGAGGACCCAGGAAGAAGACAGCCATCTGTACCCTGAAGAGGAAGCCCCTTGGTGGATCCCTGCCTCAAGTCTCAGAAGGAAGGAAGCAGGATGCTCAACCTATATTTTATACTTAAAGCATCCAGAACCATAAGGCGACAGGTTTGTTGTCCAAGCACCTGGCAATGATTTGTGACTACATCCCCAGCAGGGGAATCCAGACTTTGGCACCCAAGAATGTGGGTACTTCTAGGATAGAAACTGAGAAAGATGGGGAGGAGGGGCCAACAAGACTGCTCTTGCTGGAAGATGAAGGCACTTGCTGCCAAGGCTGAGGACCTGAGTTCAGTCCCCAGGACCCACGTGGTGGAAGGAGAGGACCAGCTTCAGAAAGTTGTCCTCTCACTTCCACACGTGCGTCATGACATGCGCACATGGGCACACAGATATGCCCTCTGACCTCCACATGTGTACCATGACATGCGCGTGCACACACACACACACACACACACACAAAATGTGCAAGCAGAGGCCGAGGAAGTGGCTCGGTAAAGCCTTTGTCATGCAAGTATGAGGATCAGAATCTGTGTGCACACCTTGCTATGGCAGCCCAGGTCTGTAATCCCAGCACTGGGGAGGCAGTCAGAAGGCTTCCAGGTCTTGCTCTTCAGGTAGTCTAGCCTCCTCATGAAGCACACATGAGGGGTGCTGCCTCCAAAACTATCTGGCCTGCACACAAGCACGCACACATGGCCCCCCACAAGTGCATGCACATACTATATGCAGGCGTCTTTGAGCAATGGTGGGTAGAGTTTGGGCAGTATGAGATTCATGAATGACAACTGCATCTTGTTGGGGATGTAAAGAGACATGGAGACATGTAGACATAAGAATTTTTTCTTTCCTTGTTTTTTTTTTAATAAAAGTATCTGTTGTTCTCTAACAATTCAATATACATGAGCATTGCATCTCAGTCAGGTCTAGCTCCAATTGTCTCCTCCTGTTCCCACAAGGCACCCCAACACAAAAACATGCACTTTCATATCCCCCACCCCCTGTCTCTCTCGTAACCTACCAAGTCCAGTTCGAGTGCTTCCTGCTGGAACATTGAGTGATCTTTCTGCCTTGATCTTGTGCAGGTGACTGCGGCTGCTGTGGTTTACAAGTGCAGGTCCAGAGCATAGCGTTTGCTCCCCTCCGTCCTCCAGCCCTTAAACCTCTCTGCTCACTCCCTCTTCCAAACGTCCTCCAAGTTGCCAGGAAACGAGGACCTTGTGTCAGATCTGGAGTCTCTCAGCAAGAAGAGCGCCTTCATCTCTTTCTCCCTGCTCACATACCACTGTGTGCTGGGCACTGGTCCAAGGGTTTTATTATGTGGCGCAAGCCTGGTACACTGCTATTGATGTCTCAATAGAAACACAACCCATCAGAGAACTTAAGTGTGGCCTGTCTTAAGGCTATACAGCTGCTACGCGAAGGGAGAATGGCAACTCAGGCCTTTCGCAGCACACGCCTACACTACAAAGCATAGAATTATAAGAGAAGCCAGAATAAGTTCAAAACTCAGGCATACTGATTGTGGTGATACGCACCTTTAATCTCAGCACTCAGGAGGCAGAGGCAGGCAGATCTTTGTGAGTTCCGGGGCAGCCAGGGCTATTTATGACTCTACCTCCCAAGTGCTGGGATTAAAGGCGTGCACCACCACCACCCGCCTATAAAGGTTTATTTTTTATGTATGCAGTGTTCTGTCTGCAGGCCAGAAGAGGACACCAAATCTCATTACAGATGGTTGTGAGCCACCATGTGGTTGCTGGGAATTGAACTTGGGACCTTTGGAAGAGCAGTCAGTGTTCTTAACTGCTGAACCATCTCTCCAGCCCATAAAAGGAGGCCAGATGTAGTGATGCATACTTTAATCTCAGCACTTGGGAGGCAGAGGCAAGTGGATCTCTGCGTTTGACACCAGCTTGGTTTACATAATTCTAGACAAGCCAAGGTTATACATAATGAGATCTTATCTCAAAAGCAACCAAAGATTAAAAACCAACCACCCAAACAAAAGCCTTAAAAAGAAGAGAAAGTACAAGTCCAGGCCGGGCAGTGGTGACGCACTCCTTTAATTCCAGCACTTGGGAGGCAGAGGCAGGCGGATCTCTGTGAGTTTGAAGCCAGCTTAGTCTACAAGAGCTAGTTCCAGGATAGGCTTTAAAGCCACAGAGAAACCCTGTCTCAAAAAAACAAAAACAAACAGACAAACAAAAGTACAAGTCTGTTTTAAGGTGTAGCTCCTCCACATTGCTGAAGGAACCTGCCTTCCATGCGCCTTCATTTCACCATCTTGAGGAAAGCTCACGGGCTCAGCACAGCACTGGCTTCCTCCAGCCATTCCAAGGAGTAAATGCGGTAATAATCCCTGCAAAGCTGCTTGGAGGCCTCCTGGCACCAGATCATAGCTGCATCTGTCTTTGCAGTTATTATTGTTTACCAAGCTGCACTTCGCGGCTGGCATGCAGGAGGCAGTGAAGACCGACCCCTGAGGAGCTGACAGTCTGCCCATGGAAACAGATATTAATCCCATCATCATGCTAATGGCCGTGTAATTATAAGCTGAGATAAGTGCTAAGAAAGATCACCAACCACTTCTCTTTATCTTTGATTTTGTGCCTCGCCAGCACAGGCAATCCCAGAGTGCTGTGTAACCATGGGGCTCTGGGTTAGGGAAATGGTTCTGCCTGATGGAATCTCCACCTAGAGTGAATGTCTGAGCCAGAGATGACATCCAGTGTCTTTTAACCTTCTACCTTATTTCCTGTAAGACAAGGTCTGCCGCTAGTCTGCAAGCTTACTGTTTCAGCTAGACTGCTTGGCCAGCAAGCTCCCAAAATTTGCCTGCCTCTCTCTGCTCCCCAGCACTAGGGTGAGCACCCTGAACAGACACCGCCCACTTGAGCATGTGACTCAGGCAGGCCTTGCCCTTCTCTGCCTTTCCCTCTGTCTGGCTAAAAACCACTAGATTACATTCCTGTAATCTAGTCCCAAGGTCCATTCCCTTGTTTGGCCACTTCCTCCTCCTGAGCCTGATTACTGAGGCCCAGCTATCTTTGTGTTGAAATCTAGCAATCAAAAGCTCCTTTAGCTCACCCAATTAACATGCCCAATTAAAGTTAGACACCTCATCCTAACATGGGGGTTCCCTTGTAGCTTTATAAACTGCTATTTTCCTATGTGTCATGTCTGTCTCCTGTAAAGAGACAGTCCTTTGTCCCTCTGGGACAAAAACTCTTGCCCCATTTCCTTTCTTCTCTTCCCTTGTCCTCTCTCCTGTCTCTGTCCCTTATCCCTGTCCTCTGTCCCTCTGGGGTAAGTGCTGAGAACTTCGCCTTGGGGGTCCTGAGCTTATACTTTTCTTCCACATTCACAGCCATCTGCAGCTTTTAAATGGGTGCCGAGACAGCAAGCGTTCTTACCCACTGCGCCATCTCCCCAGGCCCCCAAATCTCCCTTCCTACCTGGGGTCAAGGCAAGGAAGGTACTGCACTGAGCTCTGACAAGCAAAGGAGCCTGCGACCTTCCTCCAAGCCTCCCCAGCCACAGCTCCCCGGACGTAGGCAGCTTTTGTTGCTGTGAGGAGCTAGTTGGTAACAACAGATGGTCAACTTAAAGCAAGTGTGGTGGTGGACGCCTGTCATCTCTGAACGTGGGAGGTTGAGGCAAGAGGGCCTTCCAAGCTGCGCAGCAAGACCTTGTCTCAGGAAACATGCAGCTTAGCGTGCATATTAGAATACACCAGGAGGAGGGTGTGTGTGACTCAGCAGGAGAGTGCTTGCCTAGGATTCACCAGTGAGGGACTGGGAGCATGGCTCAGTGGTAGAGTGCTTCCCTAGCTGATGTAAGTCCTTGGGTCCCAGCCTCAGCACCATAAAAATACATAGATAGACAGATAGACAGATAGA